TGTCTTTCTTGCAACCCTGATAAAAAGTCAGGAACCTATTTTGAGGTAGTTACCAAGTCTATACCAGGTCAAATGTCAAAGAGTTAAGAAGTTCTCAGTAAGGAATTTGGATTGATGCCTAATAAACAACAGTCATTTAAAAGTGAACCGAAATAGTCCTCTGAGGGTCCTTTCTGAAGCTGATGCATCACTAAGGCTACCAGAGGGGAAAGGGAGGGTGGAGAACAGAGCTGGTGGGACCCAATGGCCTTGGTGGAGCATGTGGGTACCTGGGGATGTGGGGTGGAGGGGTGACACAATCTGAGAAGGTGTGACCTTGCACCTCTGAAGCACATGCAGTACTGTTACCCCAATAAGATTAAAATCATCCTCTGGTAATGAGCAAATGAATTACTTCAAATGCACATCTCTCCTTAGGGTCCGTGATCCTCTGTCCCCTAAATGCAGACTTTCCAGCTCCCCTCACACAGTTGCCACCCTCAGGCGAGGAAGAAGAACAATCACCTCCCGCACCATGTGTCTGAGAAGACAGGGCCTATTGTGGGCTGGGCTTCAGCAGGTGAGAGAAGTCATTCCCTAGCTCTGTGCTCATAGTGTCATCAAGACCAGGGTGGCTTCTAGATGCCTCCTGAGGTAACTCTGCCTGCTGCTGCTGCTGCAGAGACAGGAGCAGCAGGCCAGAGCCAAAGCTGTCCCCATAAAACAACCAACCATTTGCAACAATTTTATTTGCAAAGATTTCCTGCTGTGGCTAAGTGGTATGGCTGCTTGGCTTGTTATTTAAAAGAGTGACCCTAGTGAGACCAGAGCTCTAAAGGGGGGGGGGGGGAGTAAGGGGGAGGAAGAGGCTGAATTCAGGCCAGGCAGAGGAGGAGCTGGGATGAAGGGTGGCTCATTGAATTCCACAGAAACTGCTGGAGGACTATGCGGGGTGAAAGTAGTTCAGACTTTGGGGATAGCTTTTATTTTTTCCTAAGATTTATGTATTTATGCACACAAGAACTGGGGTCTACGCCAGAGGTGTGGGGGTGAGAGGACTGACCAAAGACAGAATTGGGAACAGAACAGCAAATCTACTGAAACACACTGCCCAGGGGTGGGACAGGAGAGGTCTGCTGTGCCCTGTGGGTCAGCTCCCTGGGATCAAACTGGTGCTGCGGTAGCTGCAGATAGCTTCATAGTGCAGTGTTTTAACCTGCCGCATCATCAGGGAGGACCCTGGGGAATAGCTCTTTTGATTCCCTGTTTGTTCAGCTCCAGATCCTTTCAGGGTCCTTACAGAAAACCATGAAAACATTCCCCAGAGGCTGGGAAGTGGTTTCAAGAACTCTGAGCAGATGGGTTTGAGAGGAAGGGAAGGAAAAGACAATGGAGATGAACAAGGGACAGGGACATCTAAGAGACGATGTCCAGCAGGTAGTTAGACATGGCACCCCAGGAAAGTCAAGGAACAAGCGCGGGAAAGTTCACAGAAGAAAGATCCTAGTGGAGAAGGGCTGGGAAGGCTAAAAGCACTCGCCCAGCAGTACAATGGGGAACCCCATGAATATGGACACTGTCCCTACGTGGCCGCTCACTCTTGATGTACATAAGCTATGTGATCTGTGTGCCTCTCAGTGTTGCCACTCTGGGGAAGGCGAAGGTGTGCACCTGTGGTTGTCTTGAGAGAGCCCCGCAGATGTGGAGGGTCCGCATATAGTGACCACAGGATGAGCACAAGGTTATAGCCAAGTGTGATTTTACGGAGGCAGCAGTTAGAGACCTGACCTCAGAGACAACATTTACACTCAGCGGCACAATAAACCAACTGGGAAATGATAATGTAGAGGATGTTTTAAGATAAAAGCTGGCACTCTGGACCATTTCTATGACCATTTGAGTTTGTGTGGTGAGCAGACTTTTAAGGCTTGATATTCTTTCATTCTTTTATTTATTCATGTTTTTTTTGTTTGTTTGTTTAGTCAATAAAATAATCTGATTCATGCTGGGAATGAACCCTAAAAGCAGTAGGAGAAAACATGAATGGATAGAAGATTGAATAGGAATTTCTGCAAGGAAACCTCTTGTCCAGCAAAGACAGCAAGAACACTCCTGCAATCAATAATAGAGTAGGGTGGAACAGGCCCTGCGGGCAGCTCAACATCTAGGGAGGACAGAGTCATTCATTTCACGTGGCCTCCTTGTGCTTAGAATGGGGGACACAGACTGAGTAAGGTAGAAGGTAGTCGCCTTCACACCTTAGGGGAGAGAGACAATAAAGCACTTAATCACGGGCATCCAAAATAGTCTGGACACCCTGAGTCGCTCTACTGGGAAGCATCATACAATGAGTGATGTTAGGCCAGGGCGCAGCCAAGTCAAGAAAGAAGCTTGTGGCATGAAGCCCCTGAGGCAGGTAAAGGAGCTCCCACTCTGTGTGGTGGGAAGAGAGGTCCAGAGAGCATGTTCAAGACAGACGAAAGAACGACGCCCGAGAAAGCATGGCATCTTCAAAGAAATAAGTTCAGTTTTGCAGGAATGTGGAATTCAAAGGAGAGTGGCAGGAGATGATTCTGGCCCCTGCTGGGGAAGACTTTCTAAATCATATTAAGGAGATGGGACTTTATTACAGGAGCAATGAAAAGCCACTGAAAGGTATTAAGAGGAGAGTGATGAAATCACATTTTCATTTTAGATCGCTCTGGCTGACATGTAGATTGAAAAGAAGTGGGGCTGAGGTATGTGCAAGGTACTGCAGCAATGCAGGGAAGAGATGGCTGGGCTGCGGGCAGGGACGAAGACAGTGAAAGTGGAGAAAATACACAGAAAATGGCATGACCAGCTGTGAGGCCTGAGGGATGTGAAATCCAGGATGCCCTGGAAATGTTTACTGTAGACCAGTGGGCATGGGAAATACTCTTTGTGGGTGGTTGGATCTGGGTAGAGAAAAGCCGGAGGGCAACAGAGAGGAGATAGAAGTTTGGCTTTAGAAATGGCGGATGCTCAGGCTTTTTGATATCTTCGTAGGGGAACAAAAATCAGCCAGCTCAATATATGTCTCCCTGGCAAAAGGGTTGCTTTCATGGGAAGGGCTCTAAAGGTTGGGTGGAAGATGCTTTTGATATTTATATGTAAACTGTCCCCATAAAGGCCTTAATCTTTCCAAAGGAGTTGGCAGGACTTAAATCTGTATTCCTTTGCTCTCATCTGCCTTTCAGATGAACTCCCTCACTGAACCCCTCTCCCCCGCCCTCACCCCAGCCTGCCCTGTCTTAGCTGAGTTAGTTACGAGGGTGTCTGATGCCTCCTGGGTGAGCAACTCAGTCCTGCTGGGCCTCTCCCATACAGACAGGAAGCACACATGCTGTTCTTAAATTTCTCTTTAACTTTCCCTTTTATCAGTCTGTCTGTGCCTGTGTATTTGCCAGCCTAAAGGAACCCAGAAGGGTCTGGGATGATTTCTTTTGTACCCTGACACGAGTCACAGTTATAGATCTAGCCCTGGGGGTGTCAGGGGAGAGGCTGCAGCTGAGGTGTCAACTGAGGGGACCTGCAGACGCCATGTGGCATCTTTGGCAATGGATAAGCAGAGGGTCCAGCAGAATCTGAGAAGCGTCAGTGTGTAGGACACGTGTTGAGGAAGAAGAGGAAGCACCAAGAAGCCTGACACAGAATTCTCAGCAGGGTAGGAAGGAAACCGAGACAGACTGTACCCAACAAGCAGCAAGAGCAGAAAGTTCTGGGTGGGAGACAATGAAGATGGGATCACAGACACAGCTATATTGTCTGGTTTTACTTTCTACTCTGAATTAGGAGCTTAGCTGAAAAGCTACAGCCTAATTCTGGAAGGGAGTTGAACAAGTAGAAACAATAAATAAATTCAACCTCCGTTCCAATGTATTTGTATCCCCCAGAATGGGCCTTATCAGAGTACATTTTCTGATATTTTAATTAAGTTGGATGGTGGGTACCGCGTATGTGTATTTTCCTGAGTATCGCGTTGTGTGTCTAATGTAGTTTGTAAAACTTAATTGTCCAAAACCTATCACTGAGTGAAAGTCAGTGTATGGCATGTATAGTTTTAATTCCACTGAATGTAAAGCTGTAGCGTTCACTTCTCGCCAGTACACACATACAGGGACTTGTAGTGTAAGAAAGTTGGTCACTGGTTATTAGCAGACCATGTCTGCTAAGTCAGATTTATGGTTATTTCCATTTCTTCTTTGGGTGCTTCCATATTGTTTGAAAGCTTATAATGGGCACCAGTAGCAGTTTTACATAAATAATGAAACCACAAACACATGCTATAGATGCTTCTACCAGACACAGCCACATAAGGCCCCTAACAGAGATGAGGTGGGCTCAGGCGAGCAAATCACACCCCTGTCATTTTCTTACTGAAAAAAACAGGCAGAAAACAACGATATGAGCCTCTTTTCTGGTACCATTTTCTGTCTTAGAGGCAGAGAAGGGAGAAGCAAAGGAGATTAAAAACCTCCTGTCTACTCCTGTACCAAATTATCTTCCTCACCGGCCTGCAGACCCAGGCCAGGAGATGTCAAGGTAAGTAGCCAGGTGTATTTCACTTCCAAATCTGCCATCTCTCACTGCCATCAGGTACACAGGGCCAGAGACCTGGACTTAAGACCAAACCGCACCTCTTTCTCTATGACTCTAGGCAATTTATACCTATAAACCTTATTCTCTTGTATGGCAAAATGGAAACAATTTGAAAAAACTACAGCAGTTATCACTTTGAGGACTAAATGGAGCCACACACACAAACCTCTTAGGGCCACACCCAGCACACAGGAAGTGCTAAGTGGGACTTGTTTTATCAGTTCCAGAATAGGAACACCAGCACAGCGAGTTGTGGAGCCCCAGCATGCCCAGCCATGCCCCCACTCCCACCCCAGAGTCCAGCATTCAACACACAGATATCTGAAATATGACCATCCTTCCCTCTCCATCTTCCAAACCCCACTTAGGAAGCTGACCTCAGTCACCCCCTCCACACTCACCTATTCAGCATGTTGGACTGGTAGATTCTTTTCTCGTGGGTGTTGTAACAACTACTCTTGGGTTCGGGGATGAAGCTGTGTGCAGACAGCATGTCGGAAGCAGCGGTGGTGATGATGGCAATTCCGTCTCTCACCCGGGCGGGGAGGCCATAGTCCCATTCATCATAGGACACAGAGATGAGCCCGGTAGGGAACTCCGAGGGGACAGTGTCTGTGTCTCCTGCCACCAGACTAGGCACAATCCACGTGTAGCCATAGCCAGTGAGCCCAACCGAGTTGGCCACCTCGAAGATGTAGGTGGCTTCTTCCTTAGTGCAATAAAGAAGGATGATGGGGCTCTGCAGTTTCTTGAGCTGGTTCTGGATCTTAGAGTCTCCATCATCCAGGGACATGTCTAGCAAGAGGACTTCCTCTAGCTCCCAGCCCACGAAGCTATTCTCGATGGTACTGCGGATCTTGTTGACAAAGTCCTGGTAGCCGGGGAAGTAGGTGGTGACGATAGAAAAGATGTACCAGTCATACTCCTCCATGATGTTGAGCATCACAGAGGCTTGCTGTTCAATGGAGGGGCCAAACTGGAAGAACATGGAGGATTCATCCTAGAAGAGCAATAATTAAAGGAAAAACAAATCAAACCAAAGATGTTAAGGGAGGGTGTGAGCCACCCAGGACACAAAGGTTTATGTTCATTATTTAATTTCTCACATAATACCTTCAGATGTGGGTACATTTGAATTGCAAATACTGTTAATGCCTTTGTCCCTAAAATGACCTCCCAGATGCTAGAGAGAACTCAATACAGGTCTCTGCATTCTGTATTTGAAATCCTTCAGACAAAGTTTAAGGCTGTCTCCTAAAATCAAATATGCTAATATTTCCATAGAAAACCAGATGAGGGCCCACAAGAAACAGACACCAAGACTAAATGGCCTCCTGTCCGACAGCTACACACATACATAGGAACACACTCACCATTTCCATTTCATAAGCATGTGGCCTTCTCAGTTGTGAAAGTATGTTACCAGTCAGAGCAAATACTCCCCAATGTCATCAATTTATCCTCGACACTACTCATCAAGGTGGAACTAGTGGACTAACCTGACAGGTGGGTGGCACTCAGGTAGGGATGTTAAGAAATAGATCCTGAGACTGGGTTTGTCTAGTTCTAAAAAGCTCTAACTGCTAAATCAGTAGCAGTTTATCTATAATAAAGATTTGTAAAAATTGTAGCTTAAGCTTATTAAATGGAATAGGAGTAAATACCAAAATGGGATATGGCTGCCTAGTCATGGTTTTTGTATTTTTTGCTCTCTACAACTACAGTTTTTAACAGTGCTAGTGATTTTTTAGGGTTCCATATGGGTCTTATTCTTGTCTAATATATAGACTAATGGCTAATCATGAGAACCAGAAGTAGCTAACAGAGAAAGCAAGAATATGCAACTTTTAAAGATGTTAATAGTTAGGCAGTATAGCATTATAGTTATGAGCCAGAATCCTTATGCCACTTGAGCATACATGCCACTGTAGAAGTAAATCTCTACAGATACTGTGAGGAATTGGCAGGCTGGTTGGTGTGCATAGGAATGCCTCTGACTTGAGGGATCTAGCTCTTGTTGTACTATTAGTAGTAAAAGTCTATTTGGAAACATATTATTCATCAATTATTTTACTGAAATCTTTAATGGGATTTTGTGTTCAATAGAAAACTTCCTAAAGTATGTAATTTGACTGTTGATTTGGCTAAAGATTGAAAATATTTCAGTCTTTCTTAAAAAGAAATAAATTAACATTCTATAACAACAAAAAAAAATCAGAAATTCAAATTAGGAGGCTCAAACAGTGTACCTAAGCTACAGTTGAGCATGATTTACATTCAGGTTCACACAGGATGGACCCAAGTTTCATACTGACCTATATATCACACATACCCTCTGTTAGGAATGTTGTAAAAAGTTAGTTCCCACTAGACAGCTCGCCCCCTCCAGAGCCATTGTTCCTGGAAGGTGCTGGCCGGGTGGGTTCCCAGAGATAAGCCTGAGTCCTGCCTGATCAAAATAAGTTCCCAGCGTCCGTCTGTCTGTCTGTCTGTCTGCTGTATCCCTAACATCTAGACAAACAGGAATTTGCAGGCACCCACCACCAACGGACGGACTACTCAGTGGAAAATCCCCAGCCCTACTAACTGCCCTTATAAACCCCACTCTGTAGATCTTTGGGATCCTTCCTTGAGGGATGCGCCTGCAGTGACAGGGCACGTAAAGGAAGGATCCTGGCTCGAGCTGGCCTAATAAAGTCTCGTTTGTTTTTGCATGGACATGAGCCTCGGTCGTTATTGAACGCGGCAATATTTTACACTCTAACACCTCGTCTGTCTATTCTGAGTGCCTTCTGTTTTCTCCCTCCTTTGAGGAAGAAACCATTTTAAATTTCTCCCATTTTAAGCTGTATTTCACCTGCTGTTCTGAGATGGCAAGACTGAACTTTTACCTCCACCTCACAGCTACAAGAATCCTATTCCACAAAATGAAGACTCTCTCAGCTTTGTCCTCTTCTCTCTGCCCATATCCCCCCAACTTCCTTCTGGGCAGTGGCCTCTCTCTTCTTTGTCAGTACCCCATCTTCTGTCTGATGGAGCATATGCATCTTATAACAATCCAGGGTAATGAAACTGTGTCTTTCTCAAAGGAACAGTGCTTTGTCTCCCCTAGACTGAGTCTTCAAAGTGCAGTGATGAGACATGAGGCTGTTCAATGAGATTGTAGTGATTTCTTAGCTCAGGAATTGAGTGAAACATCTAGGAAACTGCTGAGTATATGAGGGGATACCTTCTATTGAAAAAAAAAAAAATCAAGGTTGGGAAATATCCAGGGGTATTCAAATGAAGGAAGAAGGAAGGCAGGGGAGACATCACAAGATGGAGTTGCACAAAGGGTTCAGGTAAAAGCGGCCGGTGCAGCAACTGACATGGCCATAAAGTCAAGGTCCTCAGGTGCCAAAGCCAATGCATGTCTGCAGGAGGTCCCAGAAGGTAACTGACTGTTGGGGGCCTTGTCCAAAAGTCAGACCCAAAAGGTAAAAGATAAGGACATGGAGATAAAACTCACTAGGGAATCTCCTGTCCTGTCCTTTCAGATTCTATTCAAAGTCAACAAACCCAGGCTCGCAGAAGTGAGCCCCTCCCAGAGAAAAGCTGCCTATATCATGGCAGTGTCTCCACCAGCCGGGGCAGTAGTTCCTCTGCCCACCTGTGCCTATGCAGGTGCTTCTTCCACCCACTCTCTCCCTTTGCAGGGCAGCAGACTCCTGCCTGCCCGTGACCTGTACCAAGCCAGGACTTCTCTGCACTGACCTCCCTCAGTGATGCTGCTCTCCTAGGACCACCTGCCTGCAACAAAGCAGGTCTCACTCTCTGTCTGCAAATCTGTCCTTTTTGGGGCAGTTCTTCCTGCCCACTTGAGCCTATGCAAGTGTCTTTTCCTCTCCTTTCTCTTTCTAATAAACTTACTCTTTAAATATAACCAAGCCTCTGCCTGGTAGAGAATCTCGCCGCATGCCACTGATAGGGGATCTCTAGTGAAATGTTTCCCAGAGTGAACTCAAGGATGCCTAACTCCTACAGACGACATCACAAAGACCCCGAGTGCCCAAGGCACTGGAGCACAGTGCCTTACAGGGTATGAGCTTCTCCCAAACCACTGGGAATGAAACAGTGAGTGCTGTCACTGGGGGTAAACCTTACCACTAAGAATAAAATGGCGCCCATCATGATTCTTTCCTTGGGATTTAAAATATTCCAAAAGCTGCCTCCCAGAACCATGGAATCTGGAAAAGTAAAGCAGGTGGGCCACCAAGGACAGGAAGTGGGAGAGAGGAAATCCAAAATAGAATAGTGATTGGATGTGTGTCCATTTGAAACCACGAAACCACGGCTAGGCCCTGCTCCTGTCCACCTGGTATGACACAAGTGTGGCTCTTCTGGTGAAGGTGTGACCTTGGCCTGAGGTCAGAGGACATGGTGAGAATACAGAGAACAAAGCTTTCCCAACACTTGACAGGGCCCTGCAGAGAACCATAGCAGGAAAGGCAGGCTGGCTAAGACCACCCACTCAGAATGACTATGGCTTTAAAGAAGTAACCTTTTGTTTTTCTTGTACTTCTAATGGAAGAGAGTTTGTGGAGATAACTGAAACAAAAGAGCTTCCAAATATACCTTAGGGCAAGAAGGATGCCCAATGTAAACAAAGTCAGGTGACCCATTCTGTGCTAAATGAAGCTATCTTATCACAAGAAGGTTCTTGAATAGCCATGAAGTTCCAGCTACAGTGAAACCACAGCTGGTTCAAATACAGAGCAAGCGATGCCTCAAGAAAAAAAAAAAAAATCATGGTAAATGATCCTATGCTAATGAGACTGAATTTAAAAGGAAACCAATCTATTATATAGCAACTCTCTCCTCTCCTTAGTCCTCCTTTAAAACTCTCTTACAATTATAAATGAGCTTCTAAAGAGGCTGAGAGCTACACTGTGAAGAAAGCAAATGTATGTGAAAGAGAAAAAAATTAACACAGCTTCATCTTACTCCCACCACCACATCCTTAGCTTACCTTTTAATTCTATCATCCTCCACAATCACCCTTTTTCTCTCCTTGCTCCCATCAGTACCCAGTTGAACCTTTTTATCTTGCCAATCTTTCATCAAATAAGGATGTCTTTCCTGACCATTTTGTCCATGGCACCAAGTGGTAGTTAATAAAACCAAACAGAAATCAAGAGACAGTTATGACTTGGGCAAATGTTTCCCGGTGTAATGAGTGGTCCGATGTTATTAATTTAGTTGACACATCAATCTGGTGTACAGCAGGTGTACAGTGACACGGGACAGCTCTTTGTTGCAACAAAGCTTTGGGCTAACTGTTAAGTTGCAAGCAGTGACGGGCTTTGCAAATGATGGCCACCGTCACAATCAAAGAGCGGCCTCCGTGCGTGCATGGAAGAGAAAGGACTGACGTGCAAGCATCCATCTCAGCAGCCCTCACCCCAGATTGTGAGCGTCACGAGAAGTGTCATCCTGAAGATGAAGACGGGGAGGACCTGATTCAGGTGGCAGCTCATAGACTCCCCACTTACATTTTTATCTCCTAATGTCATTTGACTCCCAGTGAAATTTATGTTAAGAGTGTGATTCTGCGACTTGCCTGGAGAGCATCTTGAAAGCAAGTCCGCCATGATGGACGTGAACAATTAGTACAATTGCCCTTTACACCCCATCAGTGGGCAATCTTTTTGCTGATCCCTCACCACTTTGATTGATGTAAATGGTGTATTTTTTTGCTAATGAGAAGAAACAAAATCAGGTACTTTTTCATTTTGTTTTGTCTCAGAAAACAACTGCCTAAAGAATTAGCTTCTGTGTCAGCCAGAGCCCCTACAGATCCTCCTGAGATAAAAGGATCAACTCCCTCAGCTGCGGATAATGCTCTTTGCAACAGGTTTCAGCTGTCAGTCCACTTTGGCAACTGGAACAGCTGAATAGAATCTCCTCCCTCAATGCCCTACCCCCTTCCCTGAGCAAAGGATGCCAACCAACTGGCAGTCA